CCGGATGTTACCATAAGATTTTGCGTAATCTGAATACATTATTAAAATAAAATAAAAACATGAGATAATAAAAGATAGAAAAAAAAAAATAATAATAAATCCGAGACAATAAAAGGTAATTTAAATAAAAAAAAAAAAAATAATAATAATAATAATAATAAATAATATTACTTCTTGCATGGTTTGTGATCCAAACATTAAATATCCACTCGCGGCTACAGTAAAATAAAAAATGCTGGTGATAGAATAACTTAAATTCACCATTTTTCTATAATCATTTGGTTTTGCCATATCTCTATATAACGAAGGAAATATTGCATGACCCGAAAATCCGGCATTAATAATTCCGAAGGCTAATGGTACTGAAATCCATTTCTGTGGCCAAAGATATGTATCCATTGGTTGTATTAAACTTCCTGGTGAGTTTAACTTGGTAAATCCATCAATTAATAATACTAAAGTTAAAGCCGCTGTTGCAATTACACCAAAAATTGATGTATAAGAGAGGTAACGAATTGGCAACCACGTTATTGGTGTGATTATGAAGAACACGATAAATTTTAATTGGATTAAATCAGATTGGGGAAAAAGTGTCTTGAGCGAGTCGCTCGTCAATATCAAAAAGGCGACGCTTTTTTTTTGTATTGTTTTTATATGGTTTATATTGTTTTTTTTTTTTTTGTAATGTTTGTAAGAAAATAAGACTTTTATCTTATATTTTTAAAGTAAAAAAAAAAAATCGAAATATTTATTAATACTTACGAGGCATTATATAAATCCATTAGAAATATGGTCCCTATAAAATATTTTCCTTTATTTCCGTAAGCTAAATAGGCAAGATCCACATATGAATGACATGTTCGGTCTACATCTAAGCAATTTTTTAGAATTTTTGCAGTATAATTTGTTGATATCAAACAAAATAAAAATATTGAAATTCCAATAATCCATCCCGTATGTTTGAAAGCGAAAGGTAATGCAAGAATTCCAATTCCCATTAAGACATTCTATATTTTAAAATATTTTGAATAAAAATATTTAAAAAACATTTAAGTACTTTAAATAAACTCTTTTTACAAAGTACCATTATCAAAATATTATTTTAACTTACAACAGCATTGAAAGTTGTTTGATTTAATGTAGATTTTCCAAGATCCATTAAACTTTTATAATTACTTGCATCTTCCATTACCGAAGTACGATGAATCAATGGCGTTCGTTCTGTTTCGATTGTTACTGTGCCACCAGTATCAGATTCAATACTATTTATATTTGAATCTTCGGAAAGACGACGAGATGGAGCGTACACTTCAATCCGATTTCCTAAATTTGTACCTGAATATTTTTGACTTCTCGAATATGATGATACCCATGATTTTACTGAAGTGGGAAAATTAAAATGAAGATTTTTAATATTTTTACTGCCAATGTTTAGGTTTTCGTCACAAGTTATATTATTATCATTATTATCATTATTATCATCAGTTTCGTTATTGTTTGAAGTATTAGAAGATGTACGATGATCTTTATAATCTTTAGGATCCATTTTTATAGTATATTTTATATTTTATAA